AGAGAGAGAGAGAGAGAGAGAGAGAGAGAGAGAGAGAGAGAAAGAAAGAAAGAAAAAAGAAAGAAAAAAGAAAGAAAGAAAGAAAGAAAGAAAGAAAGAAAGAAAGAAAGAAAGAAAGAAAGAAAGAAAGAAAGAAAGAAAGGAAGAAAGAAAGGAAGGAAGGAAGGAAGGAAGGAAGGGAGGGAGAGAAGGAGGAAGGGAGGGATGGAGAAAGAAAAAAACTGCATTATATGGATTGAATATAGCTTCATACCACAGTTTAAATTAAGGGGGTCAGCTCTCTTCTCTCTTCTCAGGGCAAAATCAAAGATTTAGAGTTGGAAGGGGCATTAAAAGCTACATGAGGCAATCCTTCTCAGTTTACAGAGGAGGGAGCCGAGGCCCAAAGAAATGCAATGGAAGGTCACATAGGCAGCAAGCATAACAAGAGGCTGAGGTCTGCTTATTATCCCTTCTGTTGTTTTAAGTTCTCTTTAAACTGAACTACTCATGTTCTTTAAGCATAAACTTGATACTTATCACAATCAGAATATTTTAATAAATCTGGACCTAATAAACTTAATAATAGCTAGCATTTATTAAGGTTTGCAAAGTGCTTTCCATATATTATCTCATTTGTTACCCACAGCCCACCTGTGAGGTAGATGATCTAATTATCTTCATTAAGAAAGCATCTGAGGGGGCACAGCCAAGATGTCAGAGTAAAAGCAGGCACTCATTTAAGCTCTCCCCCAAACCCCTCCAAATACTTGTAAAAAATTACTCTAAACAAATTCTAGAGCAGCAGAACTCACAAAAAGACAGAGTGAAACATTTCTAGCCCAAGACAACCTGAATGGTTGATGGGAAAGGTATGTTACGCCAGACTGAGAGAGGAGCACAGTTCAGCACGGGCCACACCAGCAAAGACCAGGGCCCAGCAAACTCAGAGTAGGCCTAAGGGGACTGAATCAAGGGGGGACTGTGGAGGTTGCCAGACATCTCAACCCACAAACGCCAAATACAATTTAGAAGGTCAGTGGGAAAGGTCTGTTGGACCTGGGTGAGAGAGGAATGCAGTCCAGCCCTGGTCCTAGCACAGTTCCAGGGTGGCAGCTACAGCAGTAGCAGCTGCTTCCAGAGCTCTCAGCCCACGGATGGTGGGGAAATTGAGCAGCTGATCAGATGGGGATTACAGGGATCTCTTTGCTGGCACTGAGGCAGGATTCTCTTGCTTTGCCCGTGCTTGGATCTAGGTCCCAGTCCTCAGCGGCAGGGGGTGAGGAGGAGCACTGGCATAGCAGAGCTTGTGGCAGCAGGGGAGAGGGAACCCTCCTCTCATTTCCAGGGCAGAAGAGAGTGCTTGTGGTCACTCACAGACCAGAGCACAGGTCAGGAGAGGAGTAAACGGCTCTCCTTAGAACATACCACGTTGGAAGAACTGAAAACTTACAGGTCCCTAGAAGTATTTCTGAAAATAGTTATACAAAACCCCTGATGCTTAGGACAGTACACCCTCCACACTGGAAGCAGAGCCCTACCTTACAAAGAGTTTAAAAGTCAAGCAATTGGCTGGGAAGATGAGCAAACAGAGGAACAAAAGTCAGACTACAGAATCTTACTTTGGTGACAAGGAAGATCAAAACATACAACCAGAAGAAGACAACAAAATCAGAACTCCTACATCCAAAGCCCCCAAGAAAAATATGGATTGGTCTCAGACCATAGAAGAGCTCAAAAAGGATTTTGAAATCAAGTAAGAGAGGGGGCAGACCCAAGAGGGCAGAGTAAAAGTGACTTGCTTGAGCTCTCCCCCAAACCCCTCCAAATACCTATTTAAAAATGGCTCTAAACAAATTCTAAAGCAGCAGAACCCACAAAAAGACAGAGTGAAACAAATTTCCAGCCCAAGACAACCTGGATGGTTGATCAGAAACGTATATCGTGCCAGGCTGGGAGAGGAACGCAGTTTGGCATGGGGGTGCAAGCTGCAGCAAACCTGGAGCAGGCCTCAGAGAACTGAATCACAGGCAGCTGTGGTGGTTTCCAGACTTCTCAACCCACGAATGCCAAAGACAACTTAGAAGGTCAGTAGGAAAAGTCTGTTTCTGCAGTGGTGAGAGAGAAGCAAAGGGTCCCAGGCCCATTCTCCAAGCTCGGCCCTGGGGCAGCAGCTGCTGAGTTTCCAACCCATTGACTGAGGGGGAATTGAGTGACTGATCAGAGGAGGATTGCAGGGTTCTCTCTTCTGGAGCAGGATTGTCTTGCTTTGCCCATGCTTGGATCTGGGTCACAGTTCTGGGTGGTGGTCCTGGGACAAGGAGGAGCGCTGGCATGGTGGAGCTTGTAGTGGCTGTGGAGAGGAAATCCTCCTCACAATTCCAAGATGGAAAAGAGTGCTTGCGGTCACTCATAGAGCAGCACAGGATAGGAAAGGAGTAAACACCCTGCCCTTGATCATAGCACCTTGGAAGAACTGAAAATTTATGGGTCCCTAGAAGTATCTCTGAAAACACCTGCACAAAATCCCTGAAGCTTGGGACAGTACATTCTCCACACTGGAAACAGACCCCTACCTTAACAAAGAGTTTATAACTCAAGCAATTGGCTCGGATCATGAGCAAGAAGCACAAAAAGAGTCCGACTATATTATCTCACTTTGGTTACAAAGAAGATCAAAACATACAACCAGAAGAAGACAACAAAGCCTAAGCTCCTACATCCAAAACCTCCAAGAAAAATCTGAATTGGTCCCAGGCCAAGGAAGAACTCAAAAAGGATTTGGAGAAGCAAGTAAGACAAGAAGAGGAAAAAACTGAGAGTGATGCTAAAGGAGACCCAAAAAAATACTGAAGAAAATAAACACCTTAAAAAATAGCCTAACCCAAATGGCAAAAGAGGTCCAAAAAGCCAATGAGGAGAAGAATGCCCTAAAAAGCAAAATTGGCCAAATGGAAAAGGAAGTCCAAAAGCTTACTGAAGAAAATACTTCCTTAAAAATTAGAGTGGAGTAATTGGAAGCTAGTGACAATTTGAG